AGCCTCCCCCCCCCCCCGGGCCAGGCCCCTCCTTGAAGAGTTCTGGGGGCCTCTGGGGACAGAGCCATAAACGAATGATGACTGAAATGATGGCTAAAATAGAGTCATGTCCCCGAGGACTGGGAGCCCCCAGGAGGGAGTGACTCATTTGGCCTGGGGGTGCCAGAGCAGGCTTTCCAGAGATGGCAGCATGAAAGCTGGGTATAGAGGGATGAGTAGGAGTGTGCCCGGATGGTGGGGCGGGAGCACACACTCGGGCAGAGGGGACATGGGTGCACACACGACTGTGCGGAGCTGCTGTTTGCTGCGCTGGAGAAGAGGGGGAGGCGGAGTCTGGGGCAGTGCATGCATCCAGATCTGCTGGAAGACAGTCACGCGGGCCTTGTTAGCAAGTAAAGGAGCCCCGGTCTGTGTTCTGAGGGCAACAGGGAGCCATTGAAAGCACTGGAGGAGCAGAGGGGCCGCTAGAGATATCATTCTGGTTACTGGGCAGAGAGGGCTGAATGTGTGTGTGACAGAGAGAGGCAGGAGAGAGGCTCTTGTAACAGTTAAGTCAGAGGAAGGAGTCCCCGAGACCGCTAGCCTCCGTCTCCCGGGGTCTTCTCTGTCCCATCAGCAAAAGGCCTTCACTCCTCTGAGCCTAGAGGGCAGCTCTGCCCCCAAGGAAGGCCCGAGCATCCCCAGGGATGGAGGGGAAGGGAAGCTGCGGGCAGAGAAAGAGGCAGCGCCTGGAGTGTCCCTTTAACCCGGCTGTGGCCACGGGCCCAGCGGTGATGACTCGCCTGGCTGGCTACGTCCGGCCGTGACTTCGAGGCAGCACTCCCCCTGTGGCGCCCGCAAACTGAGCGGGTGGGGGGCTCTGGCTGTTCCAGCATCCCACTGGCCCACTGTCCCCTGCTCCAGTGACAGTGCAGCCAGAGTCAGGAGAGGAGGAGGAGGCGGCGGCGGCGGCAGTCAGCAGCTCCTCAGATCCAGAGTCATTCTCAGAGCTAGGGCCAGAGAAGCAGACGTGGCCTCCCACCCCAACCCCAGGGAGCCCAGGTGGGTACGGCCCCTGCCCTGGGTGGCCGGGGGGCCCTCATGGCTGTCCTCCCTGTTGGCCCAGGGTCGTAGGCTCGGTGGCTTCGGCCTGGCTTCTTCCTCATCCGTGCCCTCCACCCCTCAGCCTCCCTGTGCTGCATGGGTAGCGTGTCACCGCTTGTTCTACGGTTGAGTTCCGAGTCATCCTGGAGGTGGGCTCCGGCCGGGAGGTCCCTGAGGTTCCGGGAAGGTGGGGGAGGCACCTGGACCCTGGTGGTGCCTGGGCTGGTGGGCCAGGCTGCTTCAGCACTGGTGATGCTCACATGCTGTCTGTGACAGGTTGGGGGCCCTTGGCTCTGAGGGCCTCTGCTTTGTCTGTGCTCATGTATGACACGCTGTGTTAGAGCAGAGCTGTGGCGTCACAGAGAGCAGCTGTGGCCCTGGGGGCAGAGCTTCCCTACTCCGGGATGGGAGGGGAACCCCTGGCGCACTCATGGGTCATGGCCTGGCTGAAAAGCCTCGCCGCTGCCCCAGGTCTGTAGAGGAACGAAAACACCCTGAATGGTGCTGACAGGGACAGCGGCCGCCAGCCACCCGTGGCAGAGTGCCCTGGGGCTCCGTGTATATAGTCACGTTGGAGACACAGCTCCCGGGCCGGCTCTTGGAGTGCTCGGAGCCCACATAGCCGTGGCCGCTGCGGTGGACCATGTAGGTGAAGAGCACGTCCGCTGCCACAGAGCTCTGGTGGGCGGTGCCGGGCTTGAGAACTTTGCATGTGACCTTGCACCCCGATCGCCAACCCCCCAGGGAAACAGTCTCAGGACACAAGGCTGCCTCACCTCCTGCTCCTGCCGAGATTGGGACCACTGTTCTATACCCAAGAGCCGTGCAGGGGCCTCCAGGGAGCCGGGGGGCAGTGTCCCTTCCCTCCCTGCCAACCTGGCCTCCCTCTGCTTCTTCCTGCCTCTCCTTATCTTTCCTGCCTCTCTTTCTTTCTCCCTGCCTCTGCCTGCTTCTCCCCTCTCTCCCTGTTTCTTTCTGCTTCCCCAGTCTCTCCCTGTCTCTCTGTCTCCCCCTGCCTCTTACAGCTCTTCACCTCTCCCTGTCTCTCTCAGCCTGTCTTTCCCCGTCTCTCTCTGCCTCTCCCTGCCTCTTTTTCGGGTCCTCTGGTCTGTGTGGTGTCTGTCTCCCTGTGTCTCTCTGACCCCTCTCCTCCGTCACCCTCTCCCACCTGTCCCCTTCCTCCTGTCTTCTCCCTCTCTTCCTCTCTTGCCAGTGCTCACTCCATGCTTCCCTGAGGTTCCTTCCCCAGGCCTTCCCCTCTCTGGGCCCATCTCCCTGCCTCTCTCCATCTCTGTCTTCTCTCTTTTCCCCCTTCTCTGTCTCCCAGGGGCCTCCTCACACAACCTCCTCTTTGTAGAACTTGACTTGGTGCCTCACGCGGACCTCAGGAGCTGACCTGCTCGTCAGGGAAGGCTAGGAGGACATTTAGGCACATGTGCCTTGTCCAGCTCGAGACACTAAGCAATCTGCCAGCGGGTCGAATGGCCAGCCAGAGGTGCCAGCCTTGCAGTGTCGCCCCAATTGGCTTGCTCCTGGGCTGCTTTGTGGTTTCCAGCAGAAGCTCCTGACGCTGTGTTATTAGAATGCCAGTTGCAGAAGGCTCTCACTATCTTCTTTCCTCCCTCAACTCTTTCTGCTGGCATTTCATTGTGCGGGGACAGCCACGTGAGTACCCAGCCGGCGTGATGGATGTGTCCTGGGTTGCTCCTTGCAGCCAAGGGCTGGGTGGCAGGCATTAGAGCAGCACGGCACAGGATGTTTGGGGTTTGCCTCGTGGTTAGGGTTCTGCTCGTCAAGGGCATGATGGCCAGGGCCACCGCTCCTTGAACAAGTCTTCAGCAGGACAAGAGCAGGGAGACCCTCCTCCCTGAGTCCACCACTTCCTGGATGGCTTCCAAGACTCCGCTCTTGTCACCAACATTCTGGAAAAGTCCCTTGGGAGACTGGGCAACTGTTTACCCTAAACACTGGCAGCCGGGCAGGGACAGGGTGGGTTCCTTTCTTACTGGAAGCTGGAGAGAAAGACCTTTCCGCTCTGGAAAGCACGTGCTGTTTTTCCCCAAGAAGTTGGGCTGGGGAAGGGGAACTTGGAAGAGGTCGCCTGCAGTGCACCCTCGGCTGTTTTTCTCACCTCAGACAATGCAACAATGAGAAAGGACTTGGCAGGTTTGGGAGAGGAAATTGGGCAGCGTTTGCCCGAAACCAGGCCCTTCCAGTGTTCCAGCGATTTATCACCAGGAGCAAGAGGC